TTTTTCGATTTTCTTTATTGTTTTTGTTGTTTTTTGTGTTATGTTTGAACACTTATTCGAACCAATTTTTTTCGAATGCTTCTTCTTTCGTTGTACGTGGAACAAATCAATCTTTGTATTGACATGGTAACAAAAGAGGGTAAAAATAAAATAAAAGGTTTCGCGTTAATAATGGGGTAAAAACAAAGAAAATGGGTAAATGCACAAAGTTGGTTCACTAATTGATATAAATGGAAGGCAATTTGGGTAGAAATGTTGGTTAATCCTAAGTTCCCTAATCATCTTAAAGCATCAAGTTCAACGTGTGGTCTCGATATGCATTTAATCACAAATTCTAGAATGTCAAAATTAATCCAGTACAATCAACCAAACAAATAAGCAAGAATAAAAAGTATGCTCGTTTAGACTTAAATCTCACAAGAAGGTGTAACGTCTATCGAATCAAAAAACATATCAACCAACTAACTCATGGAATATCAAGAAAAATTTTAAAGAAAATACTAATCATGTCATTTCACTATCATGCATCCTAAATCTGATAAAAGTGTGATCATAAACTTATAAGGTAATCAATGAAACAAAATAAGAATCAATATTAATAGCAAGAGATTTCAACAAATTTACCAAGCAACTCAATTTCAAGCATATAAACAAGTGAGCGATAATTTGATGCAAGAGTTTTCTACCCCCTCACTTAAAGGACATTGTCCCAATATGAAAAAAAATAAAGCATAGAAGAAGAAAAAAAGACACTCATCGTGTTTAGTGATGTCCGCGGTCGCGACCTCAACGAGAGGTACCCGAACGAAGATAGGACAAAATCTCGCAAGATTGGAGTTGATGGAGTTGAGACGGTCGTGCACTTAATGAATTTAATATTGCATATCCGGTCGTGGATCCTTCGCTAGCGTCGGTGGTGGTGCACACCTCCAAAGAAAAACAAGCTCGTTATGAGGTGTTATGGTGCTTAGAGGGACAATAAACAATGCGTCGTAAGTGTCGGCTAGTAATCCCATCGTGTCCAAGCATCACATAACTAAACTATCCATATAAAAAGCATAAGTAAATTGTTCAACATCAAAATTTAATAGAAATAGTCTAGAAGCGGGATGAGTGATGTAAGGGTCGAGAATAAGCAAACGATTGGAGCACACAACATGCTCAAAAGCTGACATGAACTAAAACCCCAAATTAACTTTCATTCCGCTAAGCATACACCATTGGAAGAATAATTCAACTTTACTCAAGCAAGGCGTAGTGTTGTCGTGTCCTGAGTAATTGTATGTGCAATGAATCGATGAATGTAACGAAGTGCTGGGTCATGGATGTGCCATTCTTTCGTTGTCCATGCATTGTAGACTTGCCCTGCCAAACCAGTAAGAGCGAAGTAAGCGGTGTTTGCATCTAATTCCTATGGGATATCAAGCAAAGATCTCAAATAGCCTTGATCTGTGACATCCATCACGAACCCCATAAAAAAATAAACATTAGAAATTGATATCCTAAAATATTTTCCAAATAAGTGAAAGGAAATAACATCCGGGGAGTTTTACATTTATAGCATTATGCTACAAAAAATTAAGTGTGACATAAAACTCAAAAATCAATTCCTAAAATGTTCCAATTTAATTTTAGGATATAAAGACCAACCAATTGCATCGAATTAATGTGCAACGAATTCTCTCAGATGCAAAGTGTCTAAAGTGGGAGGAGGAATGTCCTTACAAACTTGAAACGTTTGATGCTAGATAGTATTAAACCAAATATGCTCGTCATCATCAAAGTGTAGGTCATTTCCTCTCACCTAAACTATTTCGCTGTCCTCTCACCTAGGACGTTGAGGAAAGGTTAATTAGCACTTAAATGAGTATTTTAGTCATCTATGACTTCAAAGAGATCTCTAAGCATTTCACAATTTTTTTCCGATTACGCTTGTTGTTCACCGACTGAATCACTAGTTAGCCCGATACCTGACTCGGGTTCATTACTAGGTAACCACACTCCTAACGCTCTTAACGTACTTCTCCCAAAGCCTTTGAACTAGTGGAACGACTTATCCATTCCCAGTTCATTGACGTTCTCGAAGCCTCATACTTTTTGTCAGTACTGAATCTGACATATTCATCGTACCACTTATCGAATATCTCTTGTACCGATCTTCAATGCCAACTATTCGTATACGTCCTTGATTGAAGATATTTTGTTGTATTGTGCTTAATATAGTTACACCCGATGTAACCTACTCCTACGAGTGTTTTTAGGTATGTTTGGTCATTTATGTCCCTCATATACTAAGTCTTACTATTACGGATCATCCTTAGATCTTATGGACCAGACCTTAAACAGGTTAAAAGAACATTCAACAACACTTAGGACCTTTAATGAATGTAAATACATCCTTTTCCATCAAACAAAACAGAAAAGGGATCGATTTCTTTTTTTCGAGGGATTGATCCTTTTCTCCAAGAGATCGATCCTTTTCTCCAAGAGATCGATCATTTTGAAAATGGATCGATCCTTTCTCCTGAGAGATCGATCCTTTATTGGACAAAAACTTTGGGATCGATCATTTTTCTGGGAATGACTTGTTTGAGCTCAGGAATTACTCAAGAATCATCCCAAACGACATGAGTTAGTTTCTAAACTTTATTCAAAAACTTTTGTAAGTTATTCAATGTCTTAAGGCATCATTTAAACATATTATTAACACCTAAAACGTGATTTGGTTGAGAAATTAAAGATGAACCCTAAAATTCTCAAATCACCAAATCTTAGCAAAAACAATAGATTTATGAAACCTTAATACTCCAAAGAATTAGAAATACACTACCTTGAATTTAGAAACCCGAAATGAAGCACCTTTTTCTATCAAGCACCCTCATTTTTGACTTTGGTTGATTTTCCACCATTTTTTGTCAAACCAAAAATAAAGACAAGATTCTTAGCAATAGATGGAAATCATGAAGCTTAAGAAGGTAAACAAGAAACCTCCATCACTCACCTTAGCTAAGCACCTGCTATGGAGGAAGAAAATGGAGAAAGAAAGGAGAAATGAGGAAGATGAGAGAACCCACACGTGAAAGCTTGATATAAGACCCTAAAATCATCTTCCAAAATATTCAATGGTCTAATTGCACTTTTGGTCCTTTTTATTTTATCTTATATTCAAAAATCCCCTTTTTTATGATTAATAGGGTCTCAAAGCCAATCCAGTTAAGCCCAACAACTTAATTTATAATTTCACATGGTCCACTTACCTCTCGGGTAAACCCGAAACTATTAACTTATAATTTGGGGGTGTTACAATTATGATATTTGAGGATTAATTTTAAAATTAAACCATAAATTGAATTATGTGTAATCAATCCTTTCATTTATAATGTACGCCAGTCAATCCATTTTTTTAAATAAAAAAGGCAAAATGGTACTTAAGGTCTATGTACTTTTCCAAAACATATTTAGAAAAAACTAATGTAGCCTTTGAATTTTTTCCACTTAACGTGATCCTTGAACTTAGAAAAAGATCTCAGTGTGGTCATTTGACCAACAATTTCCGTCGTTAACCATTACGATGCTGACATAGCGGTCTACAGTGCTAACGTGGTAGCCCACGGTAGTCGGCGGCGTGGCTGATGATGTGATAAATGAGCTAAATTGGTTTTTTCCAAATTTGATGGCCAAATTGTTTTTTTTTAAATTCAATGGCTTATTTGATTTTCTTTTAAAAATAAAAATATTTTAAATTTAAAATACTACAAATATATTTTAAGCCATTTAGATTTTTATTTTTATCCCCTCTTAAAATTTGATTCTTTTACTTAAACATTTTATTTTCACCACTGTTGGTATTAATTTCTTTATTTTGGAACAAATAATAATGTTAGGAAGTATAGTACAGAGTAGATATTTTAGAGTTAATTACAAATTTTGATATATCTAAAGAAAATTTTGGTATTAGTATGTTATGATGTTAAAAATATATTTATGAATTAATAAATTTGTGATTAAAATAATATAAATTTGATTGGATGAGAATTATTTGTAATGCAATATAAATAATTGTTAAGAACTCATTTTATTTGTACTAGTACGAAAATTTTACTCTTAATGATATATTTTTATTGTAGTATATGTTATATTTTGATTTTTTTTTACCTTTTACTCATGTTTATTTTTTCTTAATTTTATAGTAAATATTTATTAATTTTAATATTTTTATTTAATAAATAATACTAATAATTAATTATATTTTTATATTTAACTTAATATTTATATATTTAAAATTTAAAATATTTTTATTTTAAAAAATAAATAAGCCCTTGAACTTCTAAAACAATCAATTTGGCCCATAATTTGAAAAAAAAATCAATTTAGCCTATTTGTCATGTCATTAGCCACGTCACCGACCACTATGGATTGCCATGTCAACACTATAGATTGCCACGCCAACATTATGAAGTGCTACATCAACATCGTAAAGATCAACGACGTAAACCGTTGGTCAAAAGATCACATTAGATTTTTTTTTCTAAGTTTGAAGGTCACATTGAGTGGAAAAAAATTCGAATGATGCATTGATTTTTTTTTTGGAAAAATACAGAAACCTCATATACCCTTTTATAAAAAAAATAACTAAAAGAATTCTTTAAATTATATATTATTTAGTTTTAAGTACTTAAATTTTTCTCAAAATATATTCTTAAGCTATTATATATAATCACTTGTACTTAAATTATTCTTTTTGGTCAAAATAAACATCTAAATTACTTAAATTATTTTTTTATCGAAATAAGTATCTAATATTTTTATATGACGTGTCAATATTTTATTAATTGATATAATTTTATCTCATTTAAAAAAATGATAAATCTTAGAGTGGACACATATAATAATTTAAATACTTATTTTAAGTAAAATAATTTTAAAACTTCAAAAGAAATATAGTTTAAATATTTTAAATGTATGAAATAATCTTTAAAAAGTCCCACACACTATCCCACCCAATAGAAGCAATATATCCAAAAGCATTTTTGAGAGGTGGCCGCAGCTTCTTCACAGACATGGCAATGGCAGTTTCATTGAACTGGATTCCACCTTCCTTTACAAAGAAGGTTCTTTTTAATTACTCTTCCCATTAGCTTCTTCTCTTTATTATCCCCCAAACCAATTGTTCTTTTTATGCTTCCATTTTCCAGGCAAATCATGTCGCACAGTCAGCTCGACCGTGTGCTTTTTCTTTGCAAAACTCAGTCACATGCCCCAATGAAGAAAGTACGATAAACCCATCTCATATTCTTCGTTGCAAATCCTCTAAAATCATTTTCCCATTTTTTGTTGAATTTCAGGCAATTGCAAGAGAAGACTGTTGCTGTTGGGTGTAGGAGCTATTACAGCTAACTTAGTCCCTGCAACTTCTCTTCTTGCAGAACAAGGTAATATGATTCCTCTCAGTTGTCTTAATTACACATTTTATAACATTTTATCCTGTTTTTTTTACAGTGATACCTCAAAACTATAGAGCGTTTGTTGACATTCCAGATGGCTATTCTTATTATTACCCATCAGACTGGAGGGTAAGTTGTTTCTGTCTAGACTGCAACTAGTGATTGACGGAACTGTTGCTGGATCGATTGTCTCTTAAAGTTTCAAATTATCGTATATTCTAAATATTTTATCTTAATTATTTCTTTTCGTTACCTAAAATTTTATAAAATTATCTTATAATATAAAATCATGTATTTATTCTTAACTAGCAACGTAATGTTATGATTATTAAATGATGACATAATTGGAAAAGCATGTTGACCGAAGAGCAAGTTCTTTTTTTCTCGACTGCAACCAACTTGTCTCGACTACAACCAGTGATGAACGAGGGGTTAGCAGAGCGATTGCCAGTGGCGGATTCAAAGTTTATTCAGGGTGGATACATGCCTACTTTGAAATCTTAATTTTTTTTATAATAGTTATCCATCTTACTATTTGTGTTCACCTCGTATGAAATTTTCTATTATTAATATGTGCGTCAACCCAAAAAAATGTTTCTAGATTCTCTACCGAGGATCCCTTGAAAATTTTAATTTTTTATATATTTTAGATATTTTTATATTTTATCCTGATAATTTGTTTTCGTCCTTTAAAATTTTATAAAATCGACCCGTAACATAAAATCATGTCGGGATTCCAATTCTCGATGATTCCTGTTGTTAGGAATTTGATTTTAGGGGACATGATTCGGCATTCAAAGACAGGTTTCTTCAACTGCAAAATGTTAGGGTGAGATTCATACCAACTGATAAGAAAGACATCCATGACTTGGGACCAATGGATGAGGTAAAAGAATGGCTTCATTTTCTTTTCCTGAGGAGAAGGCAGAGATTCTGATTTGTTTACAGGTGGTTTACAATTTGGTGAATCATGTTTACGCTGCACCAAATCAAATGGTGAATATACTTGACATGCAAGAGGTTTGCTCATAAAAAAGAAAAAAAAAATCAACTTTTATTTCTGTTCTATTGACTGGAAAAGAATCTGACAAATTTTATTGGAAAAAATGCAGAGAACAAGTGATGGGAAGAACTATTACACCTTTGAATATGAGCTCACCTCTCCAAACTATGCTAGTGCTTCCTTTGCAACAATAGCTATTGGAAATGGTAAATTCTATGTTTCTCAGATTTATGTGACAAGACAATCCATTACGAGATTTTCTCACCATTAACTTACATTTCCGTTGCAGGGAGATATTACACACTGGTCGTTGGAGCACTCGAAAGGCGATGGAGAAAGGTTCGGAACAAGCTGAAAGTGGTGGCTGACTCCTTCAAGGTGCTTGACATCTGAAGATCCCCACTGCTCTGACTGTATGTATGGCAGTACACACCATTGGTGTTGTTTTTGTTGAGCATCATCTTCAACTTTAATCATTTACCATTATTCCTTCAATTTTTCGATCGTGGCTTCCTCTATTATTTCTTGCATCTGATAATTTCTCGACACAGTACGAATAACATGAAAATAGCAATTTAACAGATTTAAAGCTTCTGCAGAGTGAAATATATAAAAAGAGGTTTTTACTGGAACATTTATTTACAGAGACTACGGCATTTTCATCTTCTAAGCTTTCTCGGAAGTAATCAAAAGTTAAAAACTTCACAGCTAAATTTACATAAATCATCAGAGCACAGCCTTAATGGGAAAACCTGAAAATTCAAAGAAATGAGGAGCAAAACCTTCAAATCCCAAAAATACATAGCTAAATGGAGCTCGAGCTTTTTTCTGGTCAGTAAACAAAATTACTATACCATGGAGGCAACACAACCTTAAATCTAATGCCTGCTTGCCCCTGTAAAGAATACGGACCTATCCCTCAACCTTAACTCGTGGTTAAATCTAATACATTAGGTGGCTTCAATGCTGAGTTATCATCTGGCTCAATTTTAGGGACTCGATCAATAATGTCAAACACTGAAATGAGAGATTTCCACCTTTTGAGTATGTATGGTGCCAATCCAAATGGCTCTACCAGTGCAAAAGTTGCAAAAGAGAAAACCATGTATTCTTTGATAGCTGTAGGCAGATCTATATAGCGTCTTTTAACAGATAGTGTGGTGTACCAAAGGAGAAGAGCATTACAGGCAAAAAGAAGAAACTGTGAAAAGCCAAATGCAAACCCTATGGCCATTCCATGAAAGAAACTCTGTTTCAATATTTTCTTTAGCTGCAATCTATAAAGGTCCATTACCTTATTACCAGCACAAAATGCTACAACAGTATAAATGTTCCTCTCCGCATCCTCAAGAACCAATGATGCCTTCCTATGCATCTCCTGGATTCCCTTCGAAAATCCGGCAAGCCATAATTTCTGCAAAGTTTAAGTAGGCAACTCTTCCCTCCGAATTTAATAAAAAATGAAAAAAGCGGAAGTTATAGAAGGGAAAAAGAAGGAAAGATATGCAGATATCCAGATGCTCCCATGTTTTTTCAGTGATGAAATAAATAACAATGAAAAGATATGCAAAATTGCAAACCTGAGCAAAAGCAGAGACAGCTAGGACTGGCAGGGTTGCAAATGCCACAAGTGCCACACGCCAATGTAGCAACATCCCAATTAGTATAGCAACAATAACAGCAGCACTGTCCTGTATAAATATTGAAAGCCGGTTGCTAAAAGCAGCCCTTACAAATGTAGCATCATTAGCCAATCGCATTGACAAGTTATCAGCACTATCCTCTTCATTATCACTATCCTCTTCATTATCAAACCAGCCGACTTCGTTCCTCAGCATTGCTGTTACATGGAAGGCAAAACAAGCTAAATAATTTCCATGAAATTCAGCATTCAAGAAAATTTAGAAGAAGTTTGAAGATTCAGATACCCGAGAACATCATTCTGTGCACCCGTTCAGTCATCTTCCCCCCCCCCCCCCATAATGCCAAAGTAGAAGTGTTGCAAGAAGTTGGCAACAACAGTCACTATACCCATGCAGGCAATTATCAAACACCACCTATCTACTTCATCCCGTGAGTGATGATTTCCATGCCTATAATATGTTGTTGCTATCAATGCAATAACATAAGCAAGAAGTGGATTGAAAGAGCCAAAGATTGCCGCGCCAATACTTCCCAACACAGCATAGAGCCACTCCGTGAAACTAAGTTGTGCCAACCTCCAAAATGATGGAGCTTTCCCATGATGCACATCCTTTGCTTCCTTAACTTTCATTGGGATATCATCAGAGTGACTGTGAGGCCGACTAAAATTCTGAGAATGTGAACGTTCATTTCTAGGATCAGACGTCAGAAGGGGTGATACAGGAGATTTTGGGTCTGAATCATTTGATTTTTTCTTCTGGGAAGACTGAACATCAAGTTTAGGTAACTCTGGAAGTCTGCGTTCAAAACTATCCTGCCTCCTAATTGACGGTTCCTTACCACCAACATTTTCTCTGGCGGTGGACTATGAGGTTTAGGTGATTCTTGTGAGTTAAAAGCATCATCTTGGGGCCGAAATACACCAGGAACTCTTTGGAGAGATGGTGATTTGACAAACTTTGGAGATGATGATTCTTGTACAATTGCCAAGGAGATATGGGATAAACTAAAAGTCACTCATGAAGGCACAAACGAGGTAAAAGAATCTAAAATTAGTCTTCTAACTCATAGCTATGAAAATTTCAAGATGAAACCGGATGAAGACATCAAAGCTATGATGAATAGATTTTTCGTGATTGTCAGTGGTCGCAAATTATTTGGAGAGATCATTCCAAATGATAAGTTTATGAGGAAGTTAATTTATTCTCTTACAAAAGCTTGGCAATTGAAGAAGATGGTGATCATCGAAGCTAAAACCTAAAGTCTTTAACTCTTGATGAACTCATCGGTTCTCTCCTCACGTATGAAATGATGATTCAAGATGAGGTAGACCTCGAGAAAAAGAACGAGCCAAAGAAGGAGACGGAGAAGAAGAAAAACATTGAAGTTACTCTCAAATCCAAAAAATTTTAGAGTGATTCTGATGATGACGACGATGATGAAGAAATGACATTATTTGCCAAACGATTAAGAAAATTAATGAAGCCCAATAGAGGAAGAAAATTCAAAATAAATGAAGGCTTCAAAAACGAACCAAATGAGAAGGACCCGATCATTTGCTACGAATGCAAAAAGCCCGGGCATGTCAAATATGATTGCCCGCAATTAAAGAAAAAGGGTCAATCCAAGAAGAAGCACAAGAGTGATGATGATGAGTCATCAAATAAAGAGGAACAAGAAGTGAACCTGTGCTTGATGGCCACCGGGGAAGATTCTCAAGAGAAGAAGCATTGCTACAAGGTGCAAAATACAAGTTCAAATTCATGGTTTCTTGATAGTGGATGTTCAAGAAACATGACTAGAGACAAGATCCGATTTATAAAGCTTAACGACAAAAAATGGAGTGGTAATCTTTGGTGACAACTCAGAAGGTTACATTGAAGGTATAGGTACTATAGGTAATACCTTTGGTAACCATTAGTTATTTTCATCCTTGTGGATGTAAATATTTTGTTTTAAACAACGGTAAAGACAATCTTGGCAAATTTGATGCTAAAAGTGATGAAGGATTTTTTCTGGGTTATTCCTTAAATTCTAAAGCTTATCGAGTATTTAATAAAAGAACTTTAGTGGTAGAAGAGTCTATACATGTTGTTTTCGATGATAATCCCCTTTCGAGGAAGGATTCTTGTGTTGATGATGACGTAGGTATTGTAAATACAAATGACATTGGATATGAAGTTGGAAAACCATCATCAAAGGAAGAAATGAAACATGAGAAAACTCACGATGTTCTTGAGAATCCAACCATTGAAGAAAGGGAAGTCTCTTACCCAAGAGAAAACAACTATGTCAAGGATGGTGAAATTATAGGTGATCCATCTAAAGGGGTAACAACTTGATATTCTCTTAGAAATAAATGTAATTATATTGCATTTATCTCATGCATAGAGCCTAAGAATATCCAAGAAGCATTAAAAGATGAAAATTTGATTATGGTTATGCAAGAAGAGTTAAATCAATTTGAGAGAAGTAAAGTTTGGACATTAGTTGAAAGGCCTAGTAATAAATCTACTGTAGGTACTAAATGAATATTTAGGAATAAGCTCGATGAAAGTGGTAATATAGTGAGGAACAAGGCTAGACTTGTTGCTCAAGGCTATACTCAAGAAGAGGGTATAGACTATGATGAAATATATGCTCCCGTAGCTAGGATGGAAACAATAAGAATGTTATTAGCATTTGCATGTTTTAATGAATTTAAATTATATCAAATGGATGTTAAAAATTCATTTTTAAATGGTTTTATAAAAGAAGAAGTGTATGTGGAACAACCTCTTGGTTTTGAAGATTCAAAATTTCCAAATCATGTTTTTAAATTGACAAAAACTTTATTCGGTTTAAAACAAGCTCCTAGAGCTTGGTATGAAATATTGTCAAACTTTTTAATAGAAAAATGTTTTTCAAAAGGAAATGTTGACACTACATTGTTTTTAAAGAAAAAAAGTAAAGATTTATTAGTAGTTCAAATTTATGTTGATGATATAATATTTGGTTCTACTAATGATGCTCTTTGCCAAGAATTTTCTAAGCTAATGCAGAGTGAATTCGAGATGAGCATGATGGGGGAGCTCTCATTTTTCTTGGGACTACAAATCAAGCAAAGAAAAGATGACATCTTCATCAATCAAGATGAAGGAGGAAAATGTGTAGATGTCAAATTATATAGGTCTATGATTGACTCCTTGCTTTATCTAACCGCAAGTAGACCGAACATTATGTTTAGTGTTTGCTTATGTGCTAGATTTTAATCATGTCCTAAAGAATCATATCTAAAAGCTATTAAGAGAATCATTAGATACCTTAAGGACACTCCTAGTTTAGGACTTTGGTATCCTAAAGACTCTAGCTTTAGCTTGTATGCCTTCTCTGATGTGGATTATGGAGGATGCAAAATATATAGGAGCTTGTTTTCAAACGAAATACATTTCAGCCGGTAGTTGTTGCACACAAGTTTTATGGATGAAACAACAACTTTTAGATTATGGAATTGAAGTAAGTACCATTCCTATCAAGTGTGACAATACTAGTGCTATTTTTCTCACTAAAAATCTCATCCAACACTCTAGAACTAAACACATTGAAATAAGACATCATTTCATTAGAGATCATGTCACTACAGGAAATGTAGTTCTAGAATATGTTGATACTTTGCATCAATTAGCGGATATTTTTACAAAACCTTTAGATAAAGAAAGATTTTGGACACTTAGGAGAGAATTAGGTTTAACCAACCTACCTTGACTTAGTGTTTAAAATAATTTTAGCACTTTTAATTAGAATTGAAAAATGCTTATAAAAACAACACTTTTGATTGCATTCTTTGCTAATAGTTAGAGGGAGTTTATAATCTATAGTGAAAATTAATAATATGTTCAAATAAATTTTAAAGATAGATTTGATTAATTGAACATTGTTAATTTTCGATATTTGAGTT